GGTCAAAGGCGACGCGATAGAGGAGATCTCATCACAACTAATAATAATAAATTATGGGAGGCACTATATCAAGCTCGAGTAGAACGACAGACGTCGTGGAAAAAAATTAGAGAAAAACTAATTCGCGAAAAACAGACTCGCGTGGACCGCGCGAATAATCGCTCCGTAGTTTATAGCAAGGGTCCGCTAACATTAGGAACAACTGTGTACAGGCGGCTGAGAACAGCGAGAAATAAAACTGCCGCACGCTACGAGGGACCCTATAAAATTATAACCATCAGGGAGAATAATTTGTTTACCATTCGGGACGTAAAATACCCGTTCAGATCACGTACGGTACATCTCGAAGAACTTCGTGTACCCCGAGAAGTATCAGGTCTCGAGTCTGGCTGCGGCGCTCAACAAGAAACTCCACGTCGTTAAAAATCAGTAATTAGTTTTAATGTGTTTTGTACAATTTAGATAATTTTTTTTTGTTTTATATAATATTTTTTTTTGCTTGTATAAATATGTGTAAACAGTTCTGTTATTCTTCAAGTTTCAGATAAATGCAAGTATTTTCTGTTATCATTTAAATTTAAAATATAGACCAGTTTTTCTTTTGTTTAAAGTATTAGAGTTCCTCCTTAAGAAGGAACTGGAGGGAGGAAGTTAGCATAATATAAAATATGTTTTAGTGTTAAGATATATTAACATGTGATCGATTATTGATATTGTTTGTTTTTGTTTGATAAGGTTAACCTGCAATAAAAAAGTTATAAAATCTCATTGCTAATATTGATTCAATCTTTCTCATACTAATAATCATAACTTATATATATATAAATATATATATATATATATATATATATATATATATATATTTATGTATATATATTTTATATAATACGTCGGAAATATTTTTATTAATAAATTTTAAATTTTAAATAGTTAATTTTAAATATTTTAAATAGTTAACTACGGTGTTTGCTACCACATGATAGAAGTGAAAAATCCATATAATATGAAATACAAATATATTTTTGTTATATATTCACAAAGTAATAACGTCTATAATACATACAATATTATAATTGTGTTTAAATTTCTATGGTAAACTTAGTTCCAAATAATCATACTAAGTCATTATCATACTCTAACAATGAAACAATATGTTTATGATTTCTAAAATATGTGATGATCGTACATTTTAGTATGATTTATCATATTTAATATGACAGTATTTAGTAGGGAATTCGTTATGATTAGGTTTTTTAACACTGTATTTTTCAATTTTTTTCTCGAATATGCCGTCACGTCAATATACAATTTTGAATCATATCTAACAAAGAGGATGAAATGCTTAACATTTCCCTCACTTACAGTATGTAAGTCTGATTTTTAGTTTATGGGGATATTTTAATAACTATGAAAAAACACTTAAATAATTCGACCCGAGCCGAATTTACCCGAATGAGCATTACGCATCCGAGACTGACGGACCAATCTAATTCATTATCCACAAAAAATCAAACCGCGCCTGAAGAAGTTTTCACTTCAAATAATTATAAACACAGATTCGAGTATGTAGGTAGCTATGATTCTAATTTTAATTTTATTCAGATCTATCTATTTAACATAATAATCATTATTTATTTATTAATTTGAATCTTTCGACCACTGGGCTCATTTACACTGAAGTATCTTTAGTCACTTCTTTTAAATTTTATTATATATGTAGATAGTTTTTAAAAATTTAATCGTGAAGTCGTTTCTGGATCCTGTCTCAATACTTGTTCTGGATCTGTGGAAAATCTGTAGGAGTCGTGAGCCATACACCCCGTTAGTATGTGAAGCACTGTTAGGATACAACCACAGTAGGAACATGGCGGTTCTTCTTCTTCATCAGATATCCATGGCTAAGTCGACAATGGCCAATCCTGAGGCGGGTGAGAACTACCTCTTCTCTCCGTGACAACTGTAGATTTTTTCTTGGATGTTTAACATATTGTTCGATTTTTCTTAATTTATCTTCTCTCATGCCAAACAATAGATTTTTCCACTCCAGCCATCATTTATAATTGATCCATGATATTAGATCGTTTCGCCTATGTGTCTGCATTTTCATTTTGAGGAATTCCAATGTGACCAGGTATTTATAAAAACAGTATTCCACAACCAGGGTTTTTCAATGTTTTTAATCGTATTTTTATTTTCGTAATTAGTGGGTGTGTGGTAAAGAGGTCTGGTAGAGATTTTAGGGCAGATTTAAAATTTGAACATATGAGCGAGCTCGGGGAATTTGGAGTATGTCCGCCCGTTAATCAGTTTTTGAACTGTCTGTGTAGATGAAGGTCCAATCGCGCAGAGTGGCTTTAAAATTGTGGAAATTTTGTGATATTTCTATTGGAGGAAATTGTAGTCATTAATTACAGCTGAAATAATTATTAGGAACGATTAAACAGAGGTAAAATATCCATGTTCCGTCTCAACTATTCTTACATTATTCTTATACTTAGAATCAAACGTTGTTTTTTTTTTTCTTTTCATATTTTTATCCACACCTGTTACAGTTTTGACAATAAGCAGATGTGATGTTAAAAAAAAAGAATATTGGCATTTTAGGCATGAGGAAAAGTAGTTCCCAGCAGCACGTCTTCCTGGTCTTGGTTTACTTTCTTAATTCAGGAAAGGAGATCTCTCATCCAGCTCCTCTTTAGTTGTCTCTTGGCATTTTAGCTGTGGCTATGTCGTTAATAAATCCGTTGTGAGATCCGTGTAGTTTACGATAAAATCGGGAGTAGAGATTCCGTATGTGTTGGTCGATAATTGGTTGTCTTAAGTCAGTAGTTAAGGTTTTGTTGTTTACGTACCAAGGAGCTGATTTTATTAGCCTTAAAATTTTGAATTAAAATGATTGTATTATTTGTAAGTAAGTCTTTTTTGCAGAACCGTAATTTTGTGAGACATATGCCCATATGAGTTTAAGTAAATAAGTGTATGTGTTTAGTTATTGTCAGATGTTCAGTTTTGATTTGAAAAAAGTGAGTATATTATTTTCAGTCGCTTATTCAAAGCCTTTTGTTTTATTTTAACATGTGGGCCCAATTTAAGGTGATCCTTCCGTCAAACGTTAAATAATAACATTAGTAATATTAAAAACTAAAAATATAATCAATATCTTGTTTAATATTAATTAAATTGACAATTATTAATTTATGACCCCAAATATGCATAGAAATAAAATTTAGCCAAAGCATGTAACATAAAAACTTTCTAAAAGATTTACAATGACTTTGTTCATAAACATATCGAATCATGTTTTTGATGAATTGATGCGAAAAAAAAAAATATATATATGCTTATTATGGTGCAATTGTTATACAAATGAAGTAATGTGTTGATTTTGTCCAGAAATTTATTTAACTGTATACCAGGTCTGTAAATATGAAAAAGAAATATTGTTATTGAAAATACACCTTTATTCTAAAAAAATGTTGAACTTATACTTCCCAACAGAAGGCCTCAATCGTTCACAGCTTTTGATGTGTAATGGTTCATCATCTTATGCAATATCACTTTATTTTATCTTTTTTGATATTGTCGTCGTCATTATACTCGGTTCAAATCGATCATTTGTTGTCGATAGCATTAACGGTTGCGCCAGGTTTAAGCGACTCATAGTAGATCCACCCCTCATTCCACGTTCTTGATTTCTCGTATCAAAATCATCATTTTTGAATTTTATAAAATGCTTATGGCACTGTGATTTAATAACAGTATGCTTACTATATCATGAGTGATGAATATTCAGGACGCAGTCATTATAAAGTTTTTTATTAGTGCCGACGTTTCAACCCAAACATATGGGTCATCATCAGGGCGTGGTTCGAGCACTGAAGGCTTTCAAGCACTGGCTGAACTGCTGGCTGAACTGCACCAAAATTTAATGTCCATTAATCGTTTTTTGTAGGTGGAAGACTCGACACGTTAGACTCTATTAAAAAGATGCTATTATATGAGTCGTTTATTTCCACCATGAACACTAATGGATCCTTATGAAAATTGAGAAATGTTTCGATTGTCATGTAAAACCACAAAATAAATACGATAATATATTTTTCGAAAACGAACCTAAATATTAAACAAATATAAGTAAAAATAAGTTTATTTCCATAACGATTTTTTCCTTCAATGTAACGAAACATGTATTTTAAGTATTCTTTAAAAAATAATTATCAAAACAATTCTAATCAATTATTCAAATGAAAATTTAAAATAAATTAATTTTATTTACCATTAGTGTAAGCAAAAAGTGATTTTTTTTAGTATAATTTTTATAACTTTTTTCCCACAAATCATATACCATTTTTTTCTCCATGATAAATCCTCGTTAATCTTCTGTTTTTATTAAAAAACGGGTATTTTAATTTTTTCAAAAAGGACCCTATTCAAGTTTCAATATTTTTAATAGCTACTGGGATAATCATAAAATTTGAGATGGGTGATTGTAGTTCATTATTTAGTAAAGGAATGTACCTAGAATTGTCTTCTGAAGGAAGGGAAGAAGAACATCTCGGTGCCCACCATGATATTCATAAGTCTCTTCAGTCTTTTTGTTGAATATTGGTATTGACATTAAAATTTTTGCTTTAGGAATGAACGACTTATATAAATCTTTTATTGTTGTGAACTGAAAATCATTGCCAGCTATAAAACAAACAAAATGGCGCTAATATTTCTTTTTCATATTTACATGCCTGGTAATGTTGAATGGCCTGAGTACCTCCTCAGAAATGTACCCAGCGTAGATTGTCATCGCCAGAAGTGGACCGGTGTAAATTCCGATCCAACAAATAGTTACAATATTAATAGCTACGCGCTGGATGATTTTTATGTATATTGAAAACAGATTCACAAGAAACAGATTTACAACGTAAAAAAACAGCTGAGGTCCGTAAAGTGTGTTCACGTTTTGGCAGAAAGACGATATTTTATCGTTCAACTTGACAACTGTACCATTATCTTCTGTTATCCTTATCTGCTTCAATATTGACAAGCAGACTTGAAGCAATGCTAAGTACTGACTTGTAATACTGAAAAGAGCTGGATAAGTGATGTGGAGAGGAATACGAAGTCTCATGTTTTCCCATCTGTTGTAAAAAATCTCCCACATAGCATGACAAATCACCATGCAAGTAAAACCAAGGTATTTGATACACCAACTTGGTCTGTAATACCAATCAATACCACTTTTCCACAATATGTATTCAATATCCTTCAGTTCGTCGTAAATTTTCTTGACTAGCCCTCTGTTCCCAACCAGGTTGGCCAAATTTATAAAATGGAATGTGATGGTAAATATATTATGTAATGTAACGTAGCGTTCTCTGTCTAATATCAATATACCATCATAGGATTCTATAGACGTTGACACAGATATAACGATTGTTGCCAATACGTATAGTGTCAATCCTTTAGTGAGGTTATATTTAGAGATGCAAGAATATTCCTTGTCGATCGGGAACGTACCGATCATTCTCGAGAGCTTGAAGACGTCATTAAGAACTAGTTCGACCTTACCAATAGTTGGCTGGCAAGGAGTTATATTTAACATTGCATTCGTATACCAAGATCTTGTGATCCTCGACTGAACTGAACGGACAAGGAAATGAAGCATCGCCTCCTGTATCGATTCCAACGATTCATCCAATTCATTTATTGTCAAAACACTCATGTTATTCCAAAACCATTAATATAAGTCATTAGTTAAATTAGTATAGATGGACGTTTCATTTGACCAAGTTATATAAACAGTGTGCTAGTTATATCCTGTCGGGAAGCAAAATATAAATGAGATATCGATAAGCCTGAGGGAGAGGAGTGCCCAGTAACTTCCTTATCTTTCATTATTTTAGTATTTATATTCAAGCGAAATGAAAGAGATGAGGGATAAAATCACATGAAATCTTAGGTTATTCCAATCATTTCTGAAACTATAATAGAGTCTTATGAGACTATAAAACAATCTTAAAAAAAAATAAACATCCTACATCTACTCTCCATCAATACACCACCTACAAAGAAAATAAAACGGTTTAAAAAAAACATGTAGAGTGACATAATATGAGACTTTTAGCGCTTTAAAGGTATGATTATTAAAAGAGGCTCACCTTTGATCATTTTTTACTTTCACTTACCTGTATATGTAATAGTAAGGGTTAGTATAGCGATCGTGAAAATTTTCGAATCTGAGTTTTCAACGGAAATATACGTTTTCAGGTACCCTGAAACCAAATAACCAAGTCTCGAAAAATTATTTGCGTGTCTGTGTGTATATGTCAAAAACGAAGTCATACGAAACTGATATTATGTATTTAAGATAAGTATCTGCATTGGATGTCACAGCATCTTCTCCATTAAAATCGGCTAACCGGAAGTGCCACTTTATATCAACGCTGAAACTCATTTTTACAATTTTCTCAAAAACAGCTTTAACGATTTTGATTAAACTCGGTGTATTATTGTATAATTAAGTGGTATTTAATATTATTTAGGTCGTATTGTCGTTGATGGCACAGGTATTAAATAGCCAATATTCATATGTTTCTCCCTCTAATCCGTCTTTAATATAGTTTATTTTAAGTAATTAACTATCTCTCATTATTCAGAGTTATTAAAAAATTCTAAATATAACTTTTGAAAGATTTTGATAGTTGAATAAAGAAGAAACAAATAAAAATGCTTATTCAGGTCGAAAATTCTATCTCCGGAAATACCAGTCAGAAGGTAAACGTATTATATATCTTTGGAAAGCGGAGAATTGAAAAAAAACAACAGCATATAATATAGATAGTTATAGAAGGTAAAGGAGAGTGGCGAAAAAAATGTAAATAATAATTTTTAAAAACTAACATTATTTAACGTAAATCACATGTTTCCAAGGAAATTGAAAGACATTTTCTTACTAAATGTAAACTTTAAATTTATTTTCAAGTTTGAAAAGAAAAGTATTTAAAATCCACCGAATCAAGCGAATTCCATTATTTAAAATACTATTTCATTGTACTTGTGTGAAAGAATAAGTGAAATATAAAAATATTTCCTGGATATGTTTATAACCTCGAATATGTTTACGATAGTTTAATAAGACAATATATTTAAAAAATTAGGTATCTATCGGTCGTTTATTCCAAAAAATCATCAAGTAATCTTTTAGAAAATTAAATTAGTGAATCATTTGATGAATTTTCGCTTTGTGAAATCCCAACATTATCCACTTACAATTAGTGTGGCAACTTTTTATCTATCCGTGGAAGGCAATGAAAATCTCTTAATTTCATTTTAGTAAACTTTACAATGGGAAATAACAGTTTAATAACTAATATTCCTACAATCGATAATCATTTATAGGTTAAATATTCAGATGTACTTTCAAACCTCTCCAGGCATATATGAGCCTTTCGGTTGACAAAATGATTAACCCCGATTTCAACATTCTTTATTATTAATTTTAGTGAGGTTTCTAGTGAGCACAATTTACATCTTTCTTCACAGTTATATATTTCAATACTGCAATCACCTACTCTAGAATCAACTCACTGTCTGTATAGATATAACTTTTCCAACCAGAAATATCACTAAAATGACATTACTCAAAATTGTTGACATTGGAGTTAGTCATTCTGTCAACTGAAAGGCTCAGAGACTGAAGTTGTTTATAAAAGCAGATGGAGTGACTAGATTTTTATTGCCTACAGTCGATATAGTAAATATAGTATTTATAATTTAAATGGTCTTAATTATTTTTATAATTAAGTTTTTGTCGAAGTTTCGCGATTACTAATTCATGATCCGACCCACATTCTGCTCCGCGATAAGACCGTACATTAATTATACTGCTTTTCCAGCTATGTTGTATCAAGAAATAATCGATTTGATTTCGTGTTTGCGAATCCGGTGTTGTCCAAGTATAATTGTGAATATCCTTATATGTTTAAACGTAGTACTTTTAATAATCAAGTTTTTCGAGATGGCAAAGTTTATCAAACGGATCCCATTATCATTACTATATTCGTGCAAACTTTCTTTACCAATCGTCGGAATATAAACTTCTTCCCTTCCTACCTTTGCGTTCGCGTCATCTATAAATATTTTCATGTAGTTTCGCGGTAGTTCGAATATCATAAACCCATTCGAGTTTATCGTAAAATTCACATTTGACTTCATCGTCACTGTCTTCGGTTGGGCAATGTATATTTATTAATGCTATTTTAAACCAACGTCTCTGAAATATAGCTACTGAAATTCTATCACTCAAAGTGGATCTCTGTCCTTCAAAGTGGATCGCAATCTATTCCTAATTAGAAACCCGGTACCTAAACAATAATTCCGTACCAAATAGTGTACTTTCCTTCCCTCATCGAGCCCTCCCCTGGCCAGCGAACCTCTTGCAGAGCCCCGACATCCAAATTGTACCCATTAACATCATTCGAGACTGATTTTAACCCCCTGCTGTGTTTAGACTCCTTACGTTCCACGTACCAATATTTAAATCCATATTTTTCAACTTGCGCCATGAAATTTTTTATAATTTTTTATATGTAAGCTTTAAGCATTAACTCCGTTTGATATGCACTTAAAAAAATTTATAATAGCCCAACATTGCTAGAAAATTATTTATATTCAAAGTAGAGCGGTAAATGAATGTTGTGTGTTGTGAGCACCAGATTTTTTTTTTGCATTTAAGACGAATATCAAAATATTTCGTTATAAACCACATGTTAATTAATATTGACTTCAAGCTTATTAAGCAAGGAATTTCTCAAAAAATGAGGTATCTGTATTATTGTTGAGGGTGATAAAAAAAATCGCAAATAGTTTATACCATTTTAAAAACAGAGTCGAGCTTATATTAGTTTAGGCGCTCAATGGTTTTAACAATGACAAACTCTGATTTGATTTGAAATAAATACATAGTTTCTTGTAGAGTAATCATTAATAACATAAATCAAATATTTATAACACGGAGAATTAACATGATATAACTAAAGATATATATTAAATGAATCTCAGTACCTCCTGAGATATGTATCCAGCATGGAGTGTTATCACCACAAGTGGACACGTGTAAGTGACCATCCAACTGATACTGACTATCTTAATTGGCACACGTAGGATGATTTTTGTGTATATTACAGAAAGAATCGCAAAGAACAGATTTACAATGTAACAAAGCAGCTGAGGTTCGTAAAGTGTGTTCACGTTTTGGCAAAAAGACAATATTTTATCATTTAATCTGATAACAGTTCCGTTTTCATAAATTGTCTTTACATGCTTCAATATTGAAAGACAGATTTGAAGCAATGCCACATATTGACTTATAATACTGAGAACGCCTGAATAAGTAATATGGTTGGGAATACGAAGTTCTACGTGTTTCCATCTGGTGGTAAATATCTCCATCGCAACATGGCAAAATGTCATGTAAGTAAAACCAAGGTATTTAACAAACCAACTTGGTCTGTAACACCAATCAATACCACTTTTCCACAATATGTATTCAATATCCTTCAGTTCGTCGTAAATTTTCTTGACTAGCCCTCTGTTCCCAACCAGGTTGGCCAAATTTATAAAATGAAATATGACAGTAAATATAGTATGTAATGTGTAGCGCTTTCTGTCTAATTTCAATACATCATCATATGATTCTCTAGAAGTTGACGCAGATATAACGATTGTTGCCAATAAGTAGAGAGTCAGTCCTTTAGTGATGATATATTTAGAGATGGCGGAATATTCCTTGTCGATCGGGAACGTACCGATCATTCTCGAGAGCTTGAAGACGTCATTAAGAACTAGTTCGACCTTACCAATAGTTGGCTGGCAAGGAGTTATGTTTAACATGGCGTTTGTATATCAAGAATTTGTGATCCTCGACTGAACTGAACGAACAAGAAAATGAAGCTTCGTCTCTTGTATCGATTCCAACGATTCATCCATTTACATTTATTGTCAAAACACTCATGCTTATTTCAAATCCATTAATATAAGTCATCAGTTAGATTAATAGGATGTTTCATTTGACTAAGTTATATCAACAGTGTGCTAGATATATCCTGTTAGAAATACTGACAACCAGTCAGTTAGCTGTTGGGAAGTAAAATATTAAAAAGATCGTGATAAGCCTGAGGGAGATGAGCGGCTTCATATACACGCACATTATATGAATTAGTGTCCTCGATTTATGTTCGGGATCTCAAGGGACGCCTCTGAGTAGATTTATCCTTCCTAGATTCAGTAGAAAGATTTCATTTTTTTCCGTTACCAAAGCCCAGGCATCACCACAATTCAATTAACTCCATCCTTTCCTGCCTTACCTCAACCTTTGACGGCGGGGTCCATTTTTTCGGTGGATATCACCTTCAACCTCTTAAGTTCACTCTCACACCGACTTCCTTCAACTTTGCAAGAGAACATTTTTCGTTTTTACTTGAAAATTCAAATAAACTTTTTAATCAAAATTATTTGTGTTTAGTTAGAATTCACGCACATTATATGAATTGCTTTCTGCGATTTATCTTCGGCATCTCAAGGGACGCCTCAGAATGGCTTTATCCTTCCCACAGGCGTAAGTATTTCCTGGCATCCTTGGTCATTGAAGTCATCCAACCCCACCGTCCTTCATACATCTCCGAACTACTTCAATTCAAATCCTCTGTTCGCTCTCGCAATATTCGTTCCCGGACTTCTGATTTATACATAAGGGCCCACCGAACTGCTGCTTTCGACAGATCGTTCATTATCCGATCCTCATCCCTATGGAACTCCATCCCTCCCCACATCCGTCAATCCAAAATCCTTCCTACCCTTAAACCCCGCCTGCTCAATTATTTCTTATCCATCCAGTCCCAATAAAATTGTAAATATATACTATTGTAAATATGTATGTATTTAAACTATTAGATCTGCCGACATCAAATAAGATCTTAATATTTAAAAAAAAAAGTGTATTGATGAATATATATCGATTGTAAAACTTACAAATTAATGAAAAAAGAAAGAAATTAGAACTTTTCAATAATATATTGTGGTCATTTTTGTTGAAAACACGGGTACTTTTAGGTGACAGGATATCAAAATATCAAATCGTCTCATTTTTTTTTTTTACATTTGAGATGAATCTTAAAATATTTCGTAGTAAATGAATCTCATCTTAATTAATATGAACTTCAAAGTTACTAAACAAGGGAGTTTCTATAAAAGTGGGGTATTTGTATTATAGTTGAGTCTGATAAAAAAAAACGCTAATAGTTCATCCTTTTTTTAAAAACAGAACCGAGCATATTTCAGTTTAACCTCTGAAAAGTACTATAAATGGTTTTAACAATGAGCCCTGCGAAAAGAGGATGGTTCATGGGCTTTGTCAGATAGGGAAAAATCTGAACTATTTGCTGACCATCTATCATCTGTATTTACACCATTTATTGACTTCACGAACACAGAACATGAAACCATTGTACTAAACACTTTAGATATATCACTACCGTTGACACTACCACCTCTCTCGTTTACTCCTTCACAAGTTGCACAGAATATCAAACATCTACCCAAAAGAAAAGTCATGACTTAATAACTGCCGAGGCACTCCGGCAAATGGCCAGGAAATCACTAGTGTTACTTAAAACAATATACAACTGAATCCTGAGGACAATTGAATTCCCACTACAATGGAAATATTCACACATCTAAATCATACACAAAAAGGACAAAAACATTTTCAATCCCTTATCCTACCGACCGATAAGGCTTCTCTTAATATGTTCTAAACTATTCGAAAAAATAATATACAAAAGATTGGTTGACATACTGACAGAGCAAAATATAATTCCTGACCATCAGTTCGGTTTTCGTACGTTCATTCAACAACATAACAATTACACAGAGTTACTGACTACATTTCTGGAGCAGAGAGCAAAAATAATATGCTACCGGCGTGTTTCTGGACGTTGTCCAGGCATTCGATAAAGTCTGCCACCAGGGACTTCATACTACTAGCCTCAATGAATTTACAAAATCATTTACTGACTTTACAAAATTGGTACTCCATAATATTAGTACTTCGACGAGAAATGTGCTCATCAGTTTATTTACTAGAGAACCAAATTCCTCAGACAAACACAGTACGTTACCTGGGACTAATATTCGACAAAAGGGTGACCTGGGGCACACACGTCAAAATGAAACCACGAATTTTAAACAAGTGTCTGAAAATACTTTTTATAAATCGAAATTGAAAGGATCGATAAAAACTAAATACATACACTTACCTACTCAAACCCATCTGGACATATGCCTCCCATATTTATGTTTCGGCAAAAAAGACGCACTTACAAAAACTACAGCAATTTCAATCCAAAATTTTACGACTTATAACAGGAGCTCCCTGGTACGTCAACAATAAACTTTACATAACGACTTACCACACACCAACTATAGACCAACACATACTCCTCTACTCTCGTTTTCATCTCAAACTACACGGACACACAAACAGATTTTTAACCGACATGTTCACAACTGACATGCTCATCAAGAGAGACTAAAAAGGAGCTGGATGAGAGGTCTCCTCACTTAAATCAAAGAAGTAAATAATAAGCTTCCTGCTGGATATGATCCTTCCTCATGCCTCAATTGTCAATCCTTATTTATTCCAACACATCTGCTGATTGTCAATACAGGTGCAGATCCATAATTAAAAAGGAAAAAAAACGATGACAAACTCTACTTTCATTTGAAATAAATACTGTCTAAGTTATTATAGAACAAGGATTACTTATTTTTTTTTTTTTTTTCGTCTTCATATTTTTATCCAATTTGACCAAGGAGTTCCTTTTATGAGTCGTAAAATTTTGGATTGACTGTAGTTTTTGTAAGTGCGTCTTTTTTGCCGAACCGTAAATCTGAGGGCGTATGTCCAGATGGGTTTGAGTAGGTAAGTGTATGTATTTAGTTTTTGTCGAACATTCAATTTCGATTTAGAGAAAAGTGAGTACAGTATTTTAAGTCGCTTGGTTAAGATCTGTCTTTTCATTTTGACGTGTGGACCCCAGGTCATCCTTCTGTCGAATATTAGTTCCAGGTAACGTACTGTGTTTGTCTGAGGAATTTGGTTCTCTCCTATATAAACTGGTGGGCACGTTTCTCGTCGAAGTGTAAATGTTATATGTTGTCATTGTCATGATTTAATCTTATTTTCTGTGAGTACCAATTTTGTAAAGTCAGTAAGTGATTTCGTAAATTCAGTGAGGCTAGTCTGGGGTCGTGGTGTTTTGTTAAAATTGTTGTATCGTCAGAGTAAGTAGCAGTCAATGTATCTTAAATCAAATATTTTGTAGTGGTGTGATAGCACGGATAATACATGTGATAAATCTAAAGATAAATATTGAATAAGTATGACTACCTCCTCAGAAATGTTCCCAACGTAGAGTGTTATCACCACAAGTGGCCAGGTGTAAATGACAAACCAACAAATAGTTCCTATAGACATAGGTGCATGTTGGATGGTTTTCACATAAAGTGCGCCGAGAATCACCAAGAATACGTTCACTATGTAACAAAGCAGCTGAGGTTCGTAAAGCGTGTTAACGTTTTGGCATAGAGACAATATTTTATCCTTCAGTCTGACAACAGTTACGTTTTCTTCGATTGTCTTTATCTGCTTCAATATTGACTGGCATATTTGAAGCAATGCTAAATACTGACTTGTTATACTGAAAACAGCTGGATAGTTAATATGGCTGGGGATACGAAGTTCTAGGTGTATCCATCTGGTGTAATATGTCTCCCAGGCAACATGACAAATCGTGATAAAAATAAAACCAAGGTATTTAACACACCAACTGGGTCTGTAACAGCAATCAACACCATTTTTCCAAAATAGGTATTCAATTTCCTTCAGTTCGTTGTAGAGTTTATTCACTAGCCGTCTATTTCCAACAAGATACGCTAAATGTATAAAATGCAGTATGACGGTGAGAATAAATTGGAATGCATAACGCGCTCTTTCAGACTCCAATACATCATCATAAGATTCTCTAGAAGTTGACGCAGATATAACGATTGTTGCCAATACGTATAGTGTCAATCCTTTAGTGAGGTTATATTTAGAGATGGCGGAATATTCCTTGTCGATCGGGAACGTACCGATCATTCTCGAGAGCTTGAAGACGTCATTAAGAACTAGTTCGACCTTACCAATAGTTGGCTTGCAAGGAGTTATATTTAACATCGCGTTCGTATACCAAAAACTTGTGATCATCGTCTGAACAGAAAGAACAAGAAAATGAAGCTTTGCTTATATTCTATATCGATTTCTGTCTTTATTTTTGTTGTTTTGACATAGAATAAAATAAACCGACATGATGAATCCATTTTGTTTATTTTCAAAACATTCATGTTTATTTCTAGTCCAGTAATATAATTCATTATCTAAATTGATTATCTATAATGACTTATTTACCATCATTAATGTAATCTAATGAAATAACACTGTAATTAAATCTTTTTTTATGTTTTTATCAGTTTTAAGATAAAAGAGTATTTAATTTTCTAAGACTTATAGTTAATTTTCTATGACTGATACTTTCATAAAATTATAGGTTTTAAAAGCAATGCTAAATGACGAATGCTTAAAAAGATTTCCGATTAAGTATTACTATATGATTGACACAGGTAAATTCCTTAATTCAATCGATGGAATAAGTCAGCGATGAACAGAAATTAACATTTAGATTAGAGACGACCTGCTGAAATCAATCGGAAGGTTGACACTCCTTGACAGCCTTTGTATATTACAATACACACACATAATATCTCTTATTAAATTAAATTGTGAGACTTTTTATTTATCTTTATTTCTTCATTCATATCTCTGATAACAGTGAAAATAATAAAATATGATTATAAATTATGATTATGTTGCTTCAGGAATGGAAAGTATTATAGATATTCACTGACGATACAGAGCAAATAGTCTATTATTCCCGAAGGAAAATAGACAAAAATATATCAAAATCAAACCTTACAAGTTTTATAATTTTATATATTTTTTTTATATGTAAGTAAGCTATTCCTATTATACATGATAAGGTAAGAGCTATAACTTTTAATAAATAATAGATTTTCCAATTGCTTGACATGTATCATTACTTCATCTTCGACAGCAATGCACAAGTTGAATAAATGAACTGTAAAATCTGAAAAAAAAATTATGAAAATAAATTAAAATTAATTTCAATGTTATTATACATCAATATATATATATATAATTAAGGAAAATAGTTGTAGAGACTCCAAGGAAACATAAAGTAATATAAATTATACTTAAATTACTCCCATGTTTCGGCCAATGTTGTCAGGCCTTCATCAGGGCTAAGTAAATCAATAAGTTTTCATTCTATTATTTCGGTCAGCCAAATCACAAGTTTGCCAAAGACATTTTGAATTGGAAGCTTTTTAGACGCGCTTTCGTTTCATTTTGTGGCTATTTACCTCCGGCTATGTAACCCTTATTTTGTTTTTGTTTTTTTTTTACTGTTTTAATATAGTACCAAGCCGATTGTAACCTTTACGATTTCAAATGTAACCCTTTCCAATTCAAAACTAACCTTCAAAACATTGCATTTAATTTGGAAAAACTTTAATTTGAAATGGGAAAGGTTACAATTGGCTTGGAAATGTTATACTATAGTATCCAGTATCTGCCTCACATTCTTTCATTTATAATATACTCCCCATCTACACAGAACATTATTTTTTATCCTCATATTTCATTAATGATATATCTTTAAAGTCAATTAATTTAAAAAGTTATAATTTCTGATACCTATTTAAAGGTCTACCAGCCTGATTTAAATGGAGAGTAGCAATGACTTGTATATGTGAGAATGTGGGGCAGCATGCAGCCTTTTAATCCAACACAGCCTAGATGATATCGACCTAGTTTCTTTTAAATTTTAATATAAATAGATAATTATATAACTGTTTTGTAAAATTGACTATAGATTATAAGATTGGAATGGAAATAGTGAAAGTAAATAAAATAATTTTAAGAAGCCTATGCGCCTACAAGTTTGGTAGCCCGAAACCCGCACGACTGTTGAGCGTTGCGGCTACTGTAGAGCCTGCCCCTGGTCCAAGCCCCATCAATGGCGTCCTCGCCCCCTCTCTTAGCAATTCCCCTCCCGATGGAATATGTCAGAAATATTTTTTTAATAAATTTGAAATTTAAAATAGTTAATTTTAATTTTTAAAAAACAACTACGGTGTGTGCTTAAGACCTCAAGACAGAAGTGAAAACATAAACAAGTCGGCCTTAATAATATGAAATATAAATATTTATTTGTTCTGTATTCATAAAGTAAAAACATTTACAATTACAATTATAATTTACATTACTCCGCTAAACTTTGCTCCGACTGATCATACTAAGACAGTATCTTACTATAAAAATTAAACGATAGGTTCATGATAACTAATAAATATGATGGTCGTAGTATTAATATTATATTTTTTTTTTCTTCAATTCTTCATCCGCATCTGCCATGGTAGTGACAATTAGCAGATGTAGAAAATGGCATGATAGGCATGAGGAAAAATGGAGCCCAGAAGCACCTCTCTCCTGGTCTGTTTACATCCTAAAATCAGGAAAGGGGATCTCTCATCCAGCTCCTTTTCAGTCGTCTCCTGATGAGCATTTCAGCCGTGGCCATGTCCTTGATATGTTCATTGTGATGTCCGTGTAGTTTAAGATGAAATCGGGAGTAGAGAGTACGTATGTGCTGGTCAATGGTTGGTTGTCTTAGGTCGGTATGTAAAGTCTAGTTGTTGACGTACCTGGGAGCTGCAGTTATTAGTCTTAAAATTTTAGATTTAAAAGATTGTAGTTTTTGTAAGTGAGTCTTCTTTACTGAACCGTAAATCTGTGAGGCGTATGTCCAAATGGGTTTGAGCAGGTAAGTGTATGTATTTAGTTTTTGTATAATTTTCAATTTTGATTTAGAAAACAGTGAGTATAGTATTTTTAGTCGCTTGTTCAAAGCCTGTCATTTCATTTTGACGTGTGGGCCCCAGGTCATCCTTCTGTCAAATATTAGTCCGAGGTACCGTATAGTGTTCGTCTGAGGAATGTATTGTTTCTGATATAAACTGGCGGACATGTTTCTCGTCGAAGCGTAAATGTTATGTGTTGTGATTTGTTATGATTTAATCTAATTTTCCAGAGTAAATACCAATTTTGTAAATTTAGTAAGTGATTTTGTAAATTTAATGAGGCTAGTCTGGGGTCATTATGTATATTATATTAAATATTATACTACAAAGTTTTTTAGAAAATTAATCGTATTGTTTGTTTAAATTCATTTCATCAATAAATACTCAATTTATTCATCCTACTATAACATTCAATGGTTTTCAGTCATTTAAATATAATTTTTCTCTCTTATAAATTGAACAATAGGTAATCCTCTTAAAACTTTTTATTATTCTTGTAATAATTTGAGTTCAGCATTGCTTGGCTGAAGAATGGGACATGACTTACAGCGATCAAAGTTTCCAAGTTGACGGAGTACATCTTGACCGCGACCAAAGTGAGGGGCCTCTGAGCCCTGAGCATCATCATCTGCGCGGTGAACCTGTACTTCCTGTCCGCTTTGTACCAGTCGCTCGAGTACGCCGAGAACCGAATCTCGTAGCTCTGAAAGTAAACGTTAAGTGTAAGGCCAACTATCAGTGTTGCAGCAAATTTCTTGTATATATATATGACATTTTAGGCATGAGGGAAAAAAAGTACCCAGCAGCACTTCTTCCTGGTCTTGATTTATTTCCTTAAGTCCGTATAGTTTAAGAAGAAATCTGGAGTAAAGATCACGTATGTGTTGGTCGATAGTTGGTTGTCGTAAGTCGTAATATAAAGTTTTGTTGTTGACGTACCAAGGAACTCCTGTTATGAGTCGTAAAATTTTGGATTGAAATGTTTGTAGTTTTTGTAAGTGCGTCTTTTTTGCAGAACCGTAAATTTGTGAGGCGTATGTCCATATGGGTTTCAGTAGGTAAGTGTATGTATTGAGTTTTTGTCTAATTTTCAATCTTGATTTGAAAAAAAGTTAGTACAGTATTTTCAGTCGTTTGTTCAATGTATTTCTTTTCATTTTGACATGTAGGCCCCAGGTCATCCTGCTGTCAAATATTAAGCCGAGATATCGTATAGTGTCCGTCTGGGGAATTCGGTAATGAAATCTGAATAAATAAATAGAAATGAAATAATCTGGGGAATGGAAATATATATATATATGGAAATATATAGTAAATATGGTTGTCCTGCATATTACGGGAGAGGTCTCCGACAATGTCTAAATGTTAATTATCCCAATGAATGGATTGGCCGTGCATGACTAGTGGCTTGGCCTGCACGCTCTCCAGACCTGACACCACTGGGTTTTTTTTGTTTGAGATGACATTAAACAAAAAGGTCTATGAAAGTCATGTCAATAACCTTAATTCCTTACGATGAAGGATAATTGAATCTTTGAAACAATAACACATATCCAGTGCCGTTCTGCCACTGCTGCTGTTGAAGAAAGATGCCGAGCCTGTCTTAATGCTCAAGGAAATCATTTTGAACAACATTTAATATGAATTTAATGTTTACGTTTAATTAATAAAGTAGTTGGAACAAATTAATAAGTTTTATTTACTTAATATAACGTAAATAATTCATAACATTGAAATTCTTTAGATGTGAATATATCCTAAACAAAGCGTTTGCTTAATAGGATTTTGTTTTCTTGTTTTGAGGTCCTTAATTCATATTTTCGTTTGGCCACTTAACCCTGAAACATCCTGCATAAGAAGAAAACTGAGAGACCTCTGCCTAACTACAACTGATCAAGTTGCTCAGGATAAGTACACAGCTGTCGAGAAAAAGAAAAACAAAACTATCTTTTTATTTCATCTTGTTTTACTTTTAAATAATATTTTAGCTATTGATGTTCAATAATCAACCATTTCAATTGAACAAGAAAAAAAATTAACCCCACCCCATTACTCAAATTTTAGTGTCTAATGAAAGTTCATGGTTTTTAAAAGCCAACTCATGAATTGTTTTTTGTTTTTTTTAATTTAAATTAAGAAACAATTTTAGTTCATGAATTGTTATATATATATATATATATATATATTTTTGTTATCCCTTCTCCTAGCGCCCAAAATGATTGTTCGATTTTTAATGATATTAGAAAGTGTTAATTTTTTAATGTAATATTTTATAGTGTATATCTAATTTGTCAGCTTAAAACAATTTTTTTTTAAACTGATATTGTGATGAAGATTCAGCATCAAATTGTAAATATACTGCTACCCCTCTTGTTTCTAAGAAAAAAATTTATGCGGAAAATATACTTAAAAACTTAATTAAAAAACGAATAAATATGTTTTTGAACTTATCAGTTTTTTAAGCAAACTACTTTTATAAAAGATAAACTGTATTTAACACTTATTGCAACTATAAGAAATAAAAATAACTTAATTATATAAAATATTTCTTGATGATTCTTACCACTCTTTCGATGTAAGATGATGTAAAACAAATTAATGAAATTTCAACAAACGAGTGCCAGAAAAATAGGATAAGATTTACAGTGAACATGGCGTCCGAAGATGTCTAAAAAAAAAATAATATAAATAAACTAGATATATTCATCGATAATATTTTTATGATATACAACATTTATTATAACTAAAATACTTTGTTCAATAGCTGGAGTTGCGTCCAAAAGAAAATAGAATAGAATAGTGTTATTTAGCTGTGTATTAAATTGTTGTATAATTTTAATAATTAATATAATAAAATCCCAAATCCATCTACCACTGTTCACACCATCCATACGCAGATTATTCCCAAATCTATTTATCCTTTCAATATTTTTGTATAAATTTAAATTTTTTTTTTCGAAATTAGTGAATTACGAGGAAGGGTATCACGGAAACTATAGAATATAGCGAAAAATCTAACATAACCATTTCTATTAAAAATTTTGTCAGCTTTAATTTCACATTTCACATTATTATAGATAGAACGCATAGTTTCACTGATATAAGCGGGAAAAAAAGTATACTTTTTGAATTGCAAATTCGATGTTCCGTCTTGAAATCCATAGGTATGGGGTAACTGACTATGATTTCATGTCTTAAGACTGTAAATACCATAAATTGAAAGGGTTGGTAGTTTTATTTATCTATAAGCTCTCTCTATATATATGCTTACAAGCTAGGTAGGGTCTCTATCTATCTTCAAGTGGCCGCCATTTTGTATTTCAGCGACTATATGATGGCAGACGAGTATTTTTTTATTCAGGCCTGTGGATACGGTCAATTTATAAGGACAAACCTTAGTATGAAATACGACATCTTTTTTGTCACGGGCTTCAGGACTATTAAGGAAAGAACGCCTTTTTAGTTTCCCCGTCGTGTTGATGGGCATTTCAGCTGAAGCTATGTCTCTTATTAATACGTTAGTATGTCCTTGTAAGTAGAATTAAATCGTTGGTAAATAGTCCTTATGAGTTAGTCAACTTGGCCGGTGGAAGTCAGTATGTAAGGTTTTGTTAGTCACGTACCAAGGTGCTTTGGTTGTGAGTTGTAATATTCTTAATAGAAAAGATTGTGGTTTTTTTAAGTTTGTATTTTTAGATCTGCCGTATATCTGTGAGGAGTATGCTCATATAAGCATAGGTACGTGTAAGTGAGTAAAGTAGCTTGGACCCTCTATTAAGGGTCTTTTGTTTCTTTTTAACATGTTGGCCCAACGTCATCCTTTTGTCAAAAGTAGGTCCAAGATAGAAATTCGATTTTTTTTCTACATAAATTGAAGAGCGGTAATTTCTTCGAAAGGTAAATATAATGTTTATCAATTTATCACGTTTAATGTACGAATTTCATGTAATTTGTACCTGAGTGATTTATAATTATTTTACCTTTAATCTCAGTTATTTTATTATTTTAAGTAAGGATTTACTTACGAATAGCAAATGTAAGCTAGCAGTAATCAAGTCTGTCATTACCATACCGAGGATGATTGTCACGAAAATGTTATAAACTTTCTTCAGCACATCTCCATATCTGAAAATTATGATATTTATGCATTTTTTTTATCATTAATATAATAAATTATTTTTTCAGATTATTACCGGAGAAGTTTGTTGTAATCGTCAAAAATCTTTTTTAATTCTTCATTCAAGACTGCATTACCGTCTCTTCTATTTTCTGGACCGAATCTTCCGAAGATGTCTTCCTTAGTCAAAGTCGCAAGGTGATGGTTGAGCACGGAGAAATGAGCACATAGACCAGACATCAGCTGGACCAGGAAGCACTCGTAAGGACAAAGAGAGAGGCCGAACCAGACCATGAGAAACGATTCGTAGGTTAAGACGACTTCGTAATATGGCGTCTCAGAATAAGGAACCGGATACCAACCAGCGATGACCTTCTTCCTTCCGGTACCCTTGAGGTTAGTGTCGAATCCTGGCATGGCTATCCACGTCACCACTGTTATCGTGTTGGCGAAAAAGGCCAAGAAGCAAAACATATTCGACCTTTTCGTGATGCTACGATATATTTCTTTAGCCCTCGACTTCTTGTGCGGTGGCACACATGTGAGAAAGTCCTCACGCAAAAGATCGAATAAAATTGACATCTCTTCTATATGGAACCAGAATACTCCCATCTTCGTAATGGCTTGAAAGGTCGGCATTGTATTGAGAATGAGATAGATGGCCATTTGGAGACTCATCTTCACGTAAAAGGCACAGAGGATCTGCGACACGAGGTAGGGCGCCACGACGACCAGGGTGGATATTATGTAAACCAGCAGCTTGTAGCTCTTCTTGGACGAGCTTCGGTAAGTGTTGAGGGCGTGCCAGAGGCCGAAGACTTGCAGGTGTACCACCCTAAGGCCTTCAAGGAGGTCCGATTGGGATAAAGGTTTCCATTTGTTTAATTTCTTTGAGCTATTTGCAATGACCGCTCCAGACATGGCAGAAAGAGCTGTGGACAGAAAATATAATGAAATAATATCTTTTCCAGTATACAATACAAAAACAAAAAAAAAAAACTTTTAACGGAGCTATATCTTAAATCTTACAGCTAAGAAAGCATTAAGACCAAAAAAATAACAAAAACCGTGGTATTGCTGGTAATTATATCAACGGTAGGCAATAAAAACCTAAGTACTCCATCTGTTTTTGTAAACTACATAACTCCAACCTCCGAGCTATACATATATATGCCTAGAAAGATTTGAAAGTATATTTGTATATTCAATCGATAAATCATTGTGGATTGTATGCCGATTGGTTTTTAGTACTGTTTTTACTTTCACTTATGTATATATGTAATATATAGTAAGGGTAAGTACTGCGATCGTTGAAATTTTCGAATCTCAGTTTTCAACGGAAATACATGTTTTAAAGTCCCCTGAGTTCAAATAACCAAGTATCGCAGATGGTCTGTGTGTGTGTCCGTGTGTGTGTGTTTATAGAATTCCCTAAAAAAACAAAAACAAATCGTTAAAATCGGACAATTAGGAGGAAAGATATGGTCTCTAGTTTTTTTCCCTGAAGAGGCGAAAATTTGGATAAATTTAAAATATACTTTTTTAATTGTTGAAACTAAAAAAAACTTTTTTCTACAGATATCTAATAAAGTATCTTTCATAAGAACATTTTTCATAAAAGGTTTGTACCTAAATTTATACCTTTATTCTGAGTTCTATATTTCAACACTGCAATCACCACCTATGGAATCAACTTACTCATTGTCTGCATAGATAACTTTTTCAACTAAAAATGTCACTAAAATAACATCACTCAAAAATGTTGAAATTGGAGTTAGTCATTCTGTGGTTTATAAAAGCAAAGAAAGTTGTGTGGTTTATAAAAGCAGATGGAGTGTCTAGATTTTTATTGCCTGTCGTCGATATGTTAAATAGACATTTTGTAATTATAATGGTAATAATGATTTATTATCTGCAAGCTTTAAGCTTTAGCTCCGTTTAAAATATACTTCAAAAAATTTTATAATAGCCCAGCATTGCCAGAAATAATTTCTATTCAAAGTAGACCGGTAAGTGAAAGTTGTGTGTTGCGCGCACCAGATTTTTAGTAAATATTTCAATTGAAAACCTAGTTAATTTGTGGAATTTCCCGTGATTTGTAGCTTTTGTAAAATTGCTTGGTTCGAGCTGATGGTTGATACTTTTTTCTTGAAACTTAATACACTTTTTACTGTCATTCTACTTAATTAAAAAAAAATATAATCATTTCTAATACTTATTTTACTTTGAATCTTTTTTCTATTATTTTTTGTATTTTTAAATCAAATTTATACAAATACTGCCATTTAAAAAAAAACTCCGTAAATTGATTTCTTATAACTTTTTAGCAGTCATTGTTAAAGATAAATTCGTATTAATTTAAACCTCCATGATCCTCCCGAAGGTAGTTAAAATATATATATAAAATTATTTTTTTATGTATAAATGTTCGAACCATTTCTAATGTTTGTACTAATATCTCCGATAAATAGACATGCTCTCAAATTTAGTTTTAAGAATTGTATTAAACATAAAGAAAATAAGGTTCTGTAGTGATTTGTTTCGAATCATACGTCAATCTAAAACAATAAAAAAATTACTTTAAACAATGAATCAAATAAGATATGAAATGAACATTAATATTATTATTTTAACTGTATACAACCATCCTTTATTTTCCCTTTAATCTAAATAAATAAACAAATACAACACTGTTAAATGAACTAAAGTTTAAAATTAAATAAAAGGTGAGGTCAATGGTATAAGACGGCCTCAAGGAAAAAAAACAACTTTTATTTATTTGTTCCATGATTATTACTGTCTGTTAGTAATAAAATATAATTTTTTTCTATCTCTAACCCTTAGTATTTTTAAAATGTAATTATAATATCATACCGATAAATTGAATCTGAGAGTATTTGGTTGAATCTTTGTGACTTGATAAGCATCAGTTGTTAATATAATCTTTAAAATTAATGAAAGATATAGAAAATTTTTTCATCGGAAAATCTGTGGAAGTATCGATGGAGTTCAAAATATTATCGATGGTTTTCAATTTTTTTGTAATGAAAATAAAATAAAATGTTTATTATTTCATAACAACTATTATAAAATAATTATTTATAATTAATAAACGATAGATTTTTTAAGTTATTACATATACATATATTATAATTATATTTTGTGTTTTAAAAAAATAATTGAATATTTAATAGTTGACCATTGCATTATAAAGGAAGGAGATGGTCCGAGGTGGCGGTCATAAATAGGCTAAATAGTGGCAAAACTATTTTATTAAAAGCCAACGTTTCGACCCAACTTTTCTGGTCTTTTTCAGAGCTAGAACGGACAAGATACAAAACGATAGAGAATTGTGGAAGTTACATAATATTATGACATCGTAACCTTCAACTATTTGCAAAAATTCTCGGAATCGGTTTTCAATATGGAGATTGGCAAACTGTGTCTATTTAATTAGGTACTAAAAACTCATAAATACCCATTTGATTTCCTCTTGGATCGTAAGATAATTTGATCACAAAATCGATAAAAACAAATCTGTATTGCACAATATTGTTATGGGGTTATAAAATTTAAGGTTTTATTCAAAAAAATAATTGATACTGTATTTTTTGATCGATTCTAAACATTACTGACATGACACTTACTGCCGTTACTTAAATTTCGTTTAATTTTACGTAAATTTAAAGTAATTTTTACACTGAATTTATAAAAAAAAAATATCTTATTTGTGATTGTTTTTATTTCTATTGAAGTTCAACCAGTTTGTCTTGGTCTCGATTCCCTCCTTAAATATCGAAGTTGGAGGAACTTCATTAGTTTTGTTCTGACTGAAGAAAAGCATTGGTCTCTTTAACTCCGAACAAACAAGTTGAATTTTTCCTATACAATTTCTAGTACCATCCATTTTACGAACTGAAAAGGCACCTATTGAATATATATCACTACTATTAGTGCAAAAGGTCGTATGTAAAAATTTTCAACTTTTATTCTATTTGTAATAAAGGTGACATTTTGTAGTCCGCAACTGATATAAGCAGTATGCTACGATGGAAAATAGCAGTTGGCAATAAAATATGAAATTATACCAATAAAGCATAAAGAAATAATGAGTTTTTACGTATGGCCTTTTGCACTATCACTAGTGAAATGCATGTTCAGTATGCATTGGATTTTCTTCTTTTTTTAATAATAATCAATATGGAATCATTAAATACGGCCCTCTTTCGCATTTTAATATTAGATAATAAACGAAATTCGTGGATATCAAACCCACGAATGTTGAAGAGTAACTGTATTTCCGAATCGGCTTCTCCTAGTAAAAAAAAATTGTATACCTTGTAACATAAATATATTTTAGAGAATGAAAACGGTGAGGAAGCTATACTGACTTTACTTGGCAAATGTTTTATAAGTATAAATGTATAAATGCATAAATACACTTTCAATTTGTTTTAAAAAGTATCAAAAATAATGTTTTTTTTGTGTTTTTTTTAAATATATTTTTCATCTAAAGTTATAATGAACTGTTAGTTACCAAAATTTCTATTATAGATATTGATCCAGTGCTTATAAGTGACCACCTAAATGTTTTTAATTCTAATATTTGTTAGCTTATTTTTTTTATTATTTTTTTTTTAATTTGTAAATATGGTGTGAATGTGCTCTCAGAACTCTATTATAAATGTCCTTTATTGAGACAGATTGTAATATTTATCAATAAACCAAAAAAAAAATCTAATATTTATGTTTAAGATAATGAAACCTGACAATATCTATTACAGAGATCATGGTAAAAAGCATAGTTTTATTATCACTTTAGATGTTAAATTATCTAGGACTTCACTTGGACAAACGTCTAACTTGGAATCCTCATACCAGACTGAAACGACAAGAAACCGCTCGACATTTTCGATTACCTCAGTACTTACTAGACAAACGCTCTAAACTTCCAATTAATTACAAAAGACTTATATATATGACTATAATAAGGCTTATTTGGACTTACGGAGTTGAGCTATGGGGCTCCACTAAACCATCGAATTCCTCTTCTATCCAATCTTTACAATCAAAAACTTTTCGTAAAATCCTCAATGCTCCTTACTTCGTTACAAATAAAATCATCCACAATGACCTTAATGTTCCTTATGTATCAGATTTGGCCCAATCCAGATATCTATCTTTCCATAATAAACTTCATAAGCATCCTAACCCTCTTGTTTCTAACCTTGCTTCCTCTTCAATTCCTGATAACCCTCCTAGACGTCTAAAAATAAGATGGCCCCGTGATCTCCTAATGTAGACATATTATTAGAGTGCTACCATTGAGTAGTTTCTCATCGAGTGTTTTCACAAATTGTACAAATTTGCTAGATGTATCTCTTTAACACAGTTGTAAATATCATTAAGAAATAATGAGAAAAAAATTGTTAAACAGTCGAATAACCACTATTTTTTTTAAATTTATTTATTTAGAAATATAATAATCTGTCACTTGGTCAATAATTATAGTGATATATAAACACATTCACACCGTATATACGAAAACATAAAATTAACAAAAGTAAAATAATAACTAAATAATAATCAAAAACTAATTACAATAAAAAATAAAATAACCTAAACATAAGTAAATAAAAAACATAAAAATATACGCAGTCCTATATACAATCAGAAAGGAAACCACAAGCCAGATTTCTCCCTCCAACTATAGAAAGAAAAGCAGGACTCCAAGAGATCCATGCGCTACTCTCTCAAACGCGTCACTGGTTATTTTTTTTTTATCAATATAAAAGTGTATTTATGCATTTATACTTTTATTATAATACATCACAGGTCATGGAAACAAATATATTAAGGCTTTGCAATAATTTATTGTAGTCATATTTGTTGAAGGCATGGTTACTTTTAGGTGACATCTA